GAGAGAGAGAGAGAGAGAGAGAGAGGGAGAGAGAGAGAGAGAGAGAGAGAGAGAGAGAGAGAGAGAGAGAGAGAGAGAATTACATACTGCATTAAGAAGATTGTTTATTTCAACATCCGTAAGTGCGACATTCATGGCTTTGATTCCGCCTTTCATTTCGTCATAGGATACCGCCCCATCCCCATCCACATCAAGCAACTGAAACTGCTTCTGCAGACTGTCCCTCTCCTCTGCATTAAGAGAAGCCTCAACAATAACCTGTCAAGAGGACAACAAGCGCAAGCGCGTCAGTTCACGAAAGTCGACACTAAATGGGCAGGTCAACAACAACAAAGAGCCAAAAACAAGCAAACACGGATCCAAACAAGGACACAAAATTTTGACGCCATGAAAAAAGAGCATAAAACGCCCTAATGGGGCTGGCATCTCAAATGTCAAACCACACAAAGTACACCCCAACACACAATGTCACAGGGCTCTTCAGTATTTACAGGCCTGCAAATCGTCGGCCTAAGGAATTCACAAGTCATGAAACAACCTTAAAGACCCTAACGGGGCTAATGGCAGCAGCTCAACCCGAGGGAAGTAACCCCCCAAAAGACCCCATCACATAGTCACTAGACTCACTACCCCCTTCAAATTAACGAAACGCCAAACCCTATATAGCAAATAAACAAGTCGTCAACAGAAATAAAAAAGCAAGCATACCCAGATCCGAACAAGGACCACATTAATGTGTGAGGCACGAACCAGTATAAGACATATTCACCCGAATAGAACGCCCGATCATTATGGCTGTATCTAGACTGAAAGTTTCCATAAATACCCCTATAATTAACCGGGCATAATATTCGGGTTGGGAACGTAGCGCGGCTGGCATCTCAAGCCGAGTACAGTGCACCCCGAGACACCATCTGACAGGGCAGTGGGGTCTACAGTATTACTACCGTCTTCCCCCGAATAGAACGTACGGTCATTATGGCAGTATTTGGCTCACATTTCAGTCCAGATGCAGCAAAAAATGACCATACGTTTTATTTGAGGAAGAAGATAAGGCCTGCAATTCATCAGTCAGGAATTCTGCTGATGTCTCAGCAAACAAGGACAGCATTCATTCATGTGTCATGGACCCCCATAACACACCCTGATGCATGCCATCAGAAACCCCATAAAGAAAAGAAAAGGGAAAAAAAAAAAAAAAAAGAAGAAGAAGAAGAAGAAGAAAAACACCATAAAAGTACACACTCCAGACAAGGCCCCATCCTGTTAACAGGGGTCTACATTACTCGTAGGCCTCCAATTAATCGACCAAGAATTTCACAGATGTCGTTGCCACGGTCTCGCCAAGGGACTGGCCACACTCATGCTACGGCCGAGGTTAGAAAGCATGTACCTAGTCATCAATTGTAGATAGGTTCAGGCTTTCTTACCATGTGCTATGTTCGTGCTTAGAATTCATGTACCTGGACACACGTGCTGGCATGTTCATGCTTTCTCACCATGAGCGTTAGCACCAGTTGGGCCTGTCCTCAAGTCTGGGAAGGCAATCGGGTTGGTGTCGAGGCCTGGACGTGGTGCTACCGTCTTCCACAGTACCGCGGAGGATAATTAGTCACAGAGACAATTTCAGCAGGGGCACATCCGCAAAGACTACTGACTTCTACAGTCGGAAAAAGGCACCCACACCCAGACTTTCATCAAGTACGTCAAGCCTCACATGCAGAGGTAGCACAAGATTCCCACAGCAATGGTCTAATAACTTCCGCTCAAGCAAATTGACTTCATAGCCTTGCCAGTGTCTGCCAAAATTTTTAAGCAAGAACATGTGTGACCAGAGGCACTCGATACTCAAAATGTCCACCACTTGTAGAGAGAGAGAGAGCTTGAGGTGTCACACGAGAGAGAGAGAGAGAGAGAGAGCGAGAGAGAGAGAGAGAGAGAGAGAGAGAGAGAGAGAGAGAGAGCCGTCATACAAGAGAGAGTGAGCTGTCATAAAAGAGAGAGTGAGCTGTCAAAAGAGAGAGAGAGAGAGAGAGAGAGAGAGAGAGAGAGAGAGAGAGAGAGAGAGGAGGGAGAGAGAGAAGAGAGGAGTGTGAGCTAACTTACATTGTACGCAAGCCTCTTCAATTTGTTCATCATCATGAACTGCTTGATTCTACTTAGTACAGGACAAGTTATGGGATCATTTGAGGCACAGCCATCCTTTCGCAGCCACTCATGATCTGCAGCAAGAACAACATGGTCCCAATACAGCAGAGCAGGCAATGAGAGGAGCACTCATGATCTGTATTCAAAATCTGTCAACATCTCACCAATACAGCAGATTATGAGCAAGAACATCTGACCACTGGTAAACAACCAATCATGCTTCCTACTTTCTACAACTACTATTCACCTCAAATCCTACAAGTGCATTTCTCTCTCTCTCTCTCTCTCTCTCTCTCTCTCTCTCTCTCTCTCTCTCTCTC